GGTAGTTAGATAAATAGATAAACAGATGGATATAGAGTTAGATGTGTACATGTGTACACTCAAATATGCACGTAGAACACATACATGCTTACACACACAGTTTTCTCTCTAATGAAATTAAAAAGAACAGTCATCTACAAAATATGTCATTATCAATTTGTTTTTCATGAAGTACAAAATCTGTTTTATAACAAGAAAGACACAAAATCTCCTTTTCTTTTTTATTATTTTCCTTCTTTTTTGGCATGTGTCAAGTCAATCTCTCAATGCATGAGCACATACGCACTTTCCTACTTTGATAACCCTAGGTGAGAGCCGCTGTGCTGAAAGGGGTGTGTGCAGGGCTATTATACTAACTGTAACGATTTAAATACTTATGGAATATGAGCGAGACAAAGCTGATCATTACACTCCATGCAAGTGGTAAGTTGATGTGATAATGACCATAGTGGCAATAATGTGTGCAGCTTTCAACAACAGACTCAATTATAAATCAAAGTGGCCCCTGGAACCATGATTATTCTAATGGTTACACTAATATCTTCTGGGTCCCCCCACACACCTCTACGGCAGGTGTCCACATATACACACACAAACAACCATTTATTTTCTAATCCAGTGCAAAAATCAGTGGTAAGTGTAAGCCAACAGACAGATATACACCCCCCACACACTATCAGGTGAAAGACGTTATCCATCTTAGGACACACCACTAAGAGGTGTCAACATACACCTCTTAGTGGTGTATGCAACCTAAAGATGTGGCTACCCATGTTAGGAACAAGAAAAAAAACAAACCAAAGAAAAAGATGGTTGCCTGAACACCTTTATCTGTATAAGTGACAATGTTCTTTTCACTACTTCAGCACCACTTACACAGGTACACCTCCACAATCCTTTGCACAGGCTGCTTGTCCTCTTGAATTGTGTATAAACCCTTTTTCAAACAGTGGTGTAGCAGTTTCCTATAAAACCCACACTTTTATCTCGTCACCACAACAATGCATATGGTGGCGACCCCCATATCTCAGTGTTATCCCTGGCCCTATGCAGAGTTGCACGCCCAAGCACCTACACAGGATCACAAAAATTACTTGCACAGGAGCCTAGAAACTAGCATACAGAGAAGCCTACATGATTGCATACACAGGGGCTCAACCAGTGACTCAGAGCCTCTACACAGTGAGTGCGATGAAGGAGTTGTACTGCTCAATGTTCCGTTTTAGGATGTCTCCGCAGCTGCCTAAGACACGTTCAAACCTGTTGGGGAACAGAAATTGTACAAGAAATAAAAGACAGCATACACCACCTGTAAGTTTTGCATCACTATACAAATATTGTTTCCAACAAATCTAATTAAATCAAATATCAATAACCAAATCAACCCATTGGATCCATTGCATCACAGAAATCATGGTGTCAAAAACACGGGCAATGGGTGAGGTAAGTAGCCAACATCCTGGGCGTGCGGCACATAGGCCAGGCACCCACGAACACCTGTGACAAGACTGCGCCTCCCCTTTGCAAAGTTACTGCAATGTCCAAATTTGTCTTTTGATTTGATTTATCCAGTTGGTAATAGCTTATTTTCTTTGCACAGACTCCATATCACCTCTTTCTGTAGTAAATAACTCAGTGCAAGGGGGAAAAAATAGAAAATTTAATTGTTTTGTGATATATCTCAATTTTGCGTAATTTTCAATTTTACGTAATACAACCTGCGCCGCCAGTCACAGTGTCCAGGAATATGGTGCGCAGCATGGAAATGGCATCCTCCCTGGAGCCGGCACTCTTCCATTCACTGCTTATGCACGTTACATTTCCCATTTGTTTATAGATGGGAATAATGCTAAACCCCTTCAAAGTGCCAAATCTGTCAAATCACACTCCAAGAGGTTTGTGCACTCGTGGTGAGTCTTTTCAATCATCTCGGCCTTCACTCATGACGGTAAGTTCATGTCACCCAGGCCGCAGCCAATTTGCCCGTTGATATGTTCACGTCACCTGCCCCTCAACTCCAAGTTTTTTCCATGATGTGACTGCAACATCATTTGGGTCCAATGGGTTACAATAATTTTCCCCCCAAAATAAAATAATTTGAATAAATCTTGTTCAACATTACCTATTCCTGTCCAGTTTGACACACTTGAGGGGTCCATCTGCTATGACTGTGGCTGCACGAGGACGGTCCAAGAGGAGAGCAATTTCACCTGAAAATATTGGTATAATATAAATAAAAATCTAAAGGAAACTGAAAATAAGTATAAAAGTTATCTTGTCTTCATCTTTTCTGAACACATGTTTTTCTTTCTCTTTTTCCTTTCATACCTTTACATAATGTGATAGCAACCATACATGAGGCCTAACACTGAATGTCTATTCTAAACTCACCAAAGTAGTCTGAAGTCCCAAGCCTTCCCACTTCAACAGGTTCCTCATTTGGTGAGCGTGCCTGCATGACCACAGCCGTTCCCTCCACAATGATATAGAAGTCATCGCCAGGCTCTCCTTGTCGCACAACTGTGGCTCCAGACTCTATGGACACTGGCTCAAGCGCATCAGCCACCACCAGCCGCTCCCACTTGTCCAGTGAATCTGACAGTGGAGTCACAACATTCATGTAATTACAATTTTATAAGATAAGGTATAACGTAGAAGTTTCAGTCATAGTCTAGCTTGTCCTTTTTATATTTCACCTTGTTGGATTCTTTTAATCAGTCTTGCAGGAACACAGACATTTTTATAAATATAAATACATATTGCCTCTTCACTTTCTGTAAATCTGTGGTTAGAGACCATTTGCTCCATTTCCACAAGGTCTTCAACAAGCAATAAAGCTAAACCAAAACTATAACAAAACTCACCAAGGATGGAAACTTTGGACAAGAACTCTTCATACATTTTCCTCTTCCTTATTGTGGAGCCCATTAGGATGCGTCTGTAGGAGTCTCTGTCAATCCCCCAGAGCTTGGTGTCTGTTTTGGCCTTGACAGTGGCTTGCCTGGGGGTGCCATAGATCAGGGCCAGTTCACCAAAGCTCCCTCCATTGCTGATGCTGGTCACATGTTCTCCATTGACAAAGATCTGAAATGGGAGTGGAGTGCTGATACATAACCCGGAAAATGTGCACAACTCTAGTCACGCCAAAAACTGTTTAATCCTTGGGCGCATACACAGGAAAACAAAAATAAAAACTTCAACTCACTGAAGGGGTCACTGAATATGTTAACTCTGTGCCGACGGGTAAAAATGTTTGGCAAGTGGATGTAATAAAAGGATTATTGGCGCGCATCGGCAGTTTTCCCTTGTTTGCACCTAGCTCTATCAGTAGTTTGCGAGCGACATTTGGAACCTAAAAGATTTTTTATTTTGCTATAATTTATAAAAATATTATACTTTTGAAGGTTTACCTTCATTATAGATGCGATTGCCTAAAATCTTTACCATATAAATGAAGCCGCTACTATCAGATAAAAACAAATTCCGTCCGACGAGCCAGTGGCGCTGGAATGGGTATGATATGATGCCATTCGTTTTTTGGTCCACAACAGCCATGGCATGTACGTACATGCCACCCGTCGGCTAGGGGTTAAGCATGAAAAAAAGGAAGAATGAAAGGAAATTTCCATCAACATTCGCAGCATGTGTGAATGAACCATGTAACACACATCACATATTCTCTGTTTAAGCCACAAAGCCCTCTCCCTGATAAGGCTATATGAATATGTAAAATGAACTGAAGGAGGAGGTAGGGAAGGATGAAGTGGGCAAGGAGAGGGGAAAGAGGGAGTAGGGAGGTGATTGAGTGATTGAGTGGAGTGGAGTGGAGTGGAGTGGAGTGGAGTGGAGTGGAGTGGAGTGGAGTGAGAAGAGAAAGAGAAAAGAGATAAAGAGAGAGAGAGTGAGAGAGAGAGAGAGAGAGAGAGAGAGAGAGTGAGAGAGAGTGAGAAGAGAGACAGAGAGAGACAGAGAGAGACAGAGAGAGACTGAGAGAGACTGAGGGAGACTGAGAGAGAAAGAGAGAGAAGAGAGAGAGAGAGAAGAGAGAGACAGAGAGACAGAGAGAGAGAGAAGAGAGAGAGAGAGAGAGAGAGAGAGAGAGAGGAGAGAGAGAGAGAGAGAGAGAGAGAGAGAGAGAGAGAGAGAGAGAGAGAGGGGTGGGGGAGAGGGAAGAGAGGGAGAGGGAGAGAGAGGGAGAGGGAGAGAGGGAGAGGGAGAGGGAGAGAGGGAGAGGAGGGAGGGAGGGAGGGAGGAGAGGGAGAGAGAGAGAGAGAGAGAGAGAGAGAGAGAGAGAGGAGAGAGAGAGAGAGAGAGAGAGAGAAGAGAGAGAGAGAGAGAGGAGAGAGAAGAGAGAGAGAGAGAGAGAGAGAGAGAGGAGAGAGGAGGAGAGAGAGGAGAGAGGGAAAGAAGAGAGAAGAGGGAGAGGAGAGGGAGAGGGAGAGGGAGAGGGAGGGGGGAGGCGAGGGAGGAGGGGGAGGAGCCGGGAG